CAGTGCATGCGACTTCATTCTCCATATGAGAGGCGTCTTTAAGCGGCCATCACCAAAAAAGCCTTTATAATACATTTCAGTAGTTCAGCACTTTCTCCTTGTGTCATTCCATTGTTGATACACGTAACCTTTATTATTTTGGTTTTGTTTTATTTTTATGTTTGCATTGTTTGGATTTTTACCTAAATCTGCTTTAATTCCATCTCAACAGCTCCTTTCGAGTTATTCCCAGGAAAAAACATGACGTGTTCAATACTTATTTCCCTCACTGTAGTCCGGTTGGGAGTTCAGCACATTTAGCTCCCTGTCGTCAAGAGAAAGAGCTGGAAATCCAATCCATATCGACTCAGCAGAAAACCAATAGCATGTACTTTCATTACAGCACTGATGCAGCTTCTGTCCTCTCATGCATGAAGATTAATCTAACACGTAATTGTCATTGTAAAGCACTTTATGGCCTCCTGATTGGTAATCACAGCATTGGAGTGGTGATAAAATACAGACTATAGTCACGTTTACAATGTAGAACACCGCTTTATTAGCTCTTGTGAGTTTTTACAAAGAAATAAATGCTTTATATACAGTAGTCTTATACATTCTCATGGGTTCGACAAAAATATCATGTGCAGACTTTACAACACTGATAATAATTAGAAAAGGTTCTTGATAATCAAATCTATATTCATTCAAGAGTTCACACTTAGCTGATGATTGATTATCAAGCTTGTTTGGCATGCTGTACCGGGAGAGAGCCCTGAGCTCATAAGATCCTTGTGCCTGGGGCTCCCTCCCATTTGCAAGGCGAGAGGGGAGTTTGAGCTCAGGTAGATCTCGAGAACTCCCCTGCTGTAGTAGCTAATGAACAGATAGGGATTGCTCCCTCTCAGGCTCAAATTAAGTTTTAGAAACAGGAAAAATCTGATATTTGGGGAAAATTATCATATGGGGTAGTACAATAGAATCCTGACTTTTTTTTTAAAGGGCCATGAAACCCCCTCGTTTCAGCAGGGTGTTTTCACACCTCTACTTTGGAAAAAGTCAGAAAAGTGGGCGTGTCCAGCTCTGTTTAGGGGGGAGTGTCGGAGGAACTAAAGTGGGATGGTGTGGGAGTGTCTATTTGGGCACGCGCGAGTTTCAGTCAAAATACTCACACACAGTAGAATGTGATGGTGTTTAACCTACATGGACATCTGTAGTCGAATTATTTGCCAAATTATTAAATGGTGGACTTTAACTGCAGTTTGGCTCTTTCATTCAGGGAATTTATTCATGCCCCTCACGACAAACGCGATATTTGATTCGAGGATCTGCTCTAAGCGTGTATTTTTCATGCAATGTTTGATACCGCACGGCGAATGAGAGAAAAAAAAACTCTGCATTTCCCGGAAACTCAGATGCACACGGCAGGTAGCGTCAGAAAGCCGCGTGTGTTATTCCGGTCACAAAATGCGGTGCTATGTTTGCACTCAGTGCAATAGTTAACTTAATTTGATACGAACAAACTGAATAAACAAAGAGCACTGGTCGCTCACTTACCAAATCTGTAGAGACAGGACAATCACCAGCAACTAGAGCCGCGTCTTTATGAAGAGGAGACTAACGTTACAAGCGAATCCGGATTTCAGCGTTTGCAGATGAGAACAGCTCTCAGGTAAACAATGTTCCTCCTTAGACACGTAAGTTATTGTTGTCGAGCGTCGCGTACACTGTTAATCCACACGTGATCCAGCTGAGCTCTCACAGAAAGAAAATGAAAACGAAACTTAATGGCAGCAAACTATAAAAGCAACACTTCCCGCTTGTTTTGCCAAGACAACGTGGCGTCTCTGTGGCGTAAACGCGGTGACACTGATGAATATTAATGAAGTTGCACAATAGAGCGCGCTGATTGGTTTGAACCAAGCCTTACTCATGCATTAATGCATCACACTGTAAGATGTAATAAGACTCACTCTGGCACAGACGTCCAGTCTGCACGCTGGAATACACGCTAATATGTCATGACCGTGACGCAGCTTCAAAAATTCGTTTCAAACAGGAAGTACGAATGTGCTTGAAATAACGCAAAAACAACCAATTTACACTTTTTAGTGAAATATAGGTGTCCTAATAGTGTTTTTAGCAGTGTGGGACACATATACGACTGTCAACAGCTCAAAAAATGTGTTTTGGTGTTTCGTGACCCTTTAAAGAGACCTTCTCATGCAGGGCGTTCTGGCATGTTGCAGATTTGCAACATTGGCCCAGTGTGGTAATTAGACACTGACGCCTGAATATGATATGAACAATAACTTTTTATATACAACTTTTCAAACAATGTAATAAATTGCTTTTCTGTGGCAGAACAACAACAAAAACAATATGGGATCCAAATCCAACATCTCAAATCCTCATTGAGTAGGTCATGTTTCCAAGTCACTTTGTCATGTGGTACTCCAAGAAACAGTTTTTGTCTTTTGTGTCATCTGGTGAGCAAGTGGGGAAACTGTTTGTTGCTAATGGACAACCAAGTCCTGCAGTGGTAATTCTGAGTAAAAAAAAATCTCATAAAATATGTATCTGGAGTAATATGGTAGTTAATTTTTAACTGTTGCAAATCTGCAAAGCCTGCCTTGAGAAGGTTATGAGATAACTACTTATTAGGAGCAAGTCTATGGTGCTGATTTGGATTAGTCAATTAACTTAAATTGCATGTTTTTGGACGGTGGGAGGAAACCGGGGGAAACCCACATGAGCATGAGGAGAACGTGTAAACTCCCTACTGAAACATCGTAGGAGTAGAAGTGAAAGGGGGGATCTTCAAGACGAAGACGGCTGTTATATGGAACTTAGGCCGTACTCACACTAGGTACAGTTGCCTCGAACCGGCCAAAGCCCGCTTGTCCCTCCTCCCGTCTCCCCCGACGGCCCTCGCTCACACCACAAACGGGCTTCGGCACGCTTACGTCATCGCTGCTGCGCTGTTCAGTGAGAAGCGCTCTCTCACTCAGCAGCACAGTGAAGATTTCTCTAGTTATATCCTTTCAGTCGTTTGATATGCCGTCAAATATTTCGCCAAACAGTTCTTAGGGATGCGGGGACACGCAGTCAGATATTTCGCCGAACAGATCCGCCACTTTTGGCCCTCATTTGGCGGAATGAGGAGGTCTGCTGAAGGCGCGCAGCTGTCGTGCAGTGAGGGGTTTGCGTCTTTAATAACCTACGGCAGTTTGCGTTCACTGAACAGTAAGAATTATTAATAAATCCATATGAAACAGCCCCTTAAAAGTCACGTCTCGCTTTCGGTTTCGGGCTTTGGTGTGTTTTGCACTCACACAATTGCCCAATTGAACCGCGCTCAGGCACACCTCTTCCAACCGGGCCAGGGCCGGCCAAGTGAACCGTGCTTGAGCCCGATTCAGCGCACTCACACTTCTCAAACGATCCGGGAAACGGGCCTGGGCACGATACGGATGGCATAGTGTGAGTAGGCCCTTAGAGTCTAATTATTTCTGTTTAGTGACAAGACTTTTGTCTAAGCAAAGTCAGACCTTACTGTCCTAATGAAATAATTCAAAATCAAGGCATGATCATATTTTATTTTGGCAAAATAAGTGTAATCTAGAGACATTTGTCTTTACAGTTTTTCTTGTTTGCTTTGACCTGGTTAAAGAAACTAGGTTCCACTTCATTTTCATTTTCACTATCCCAGCAGAGCAAAAGACCGGTCTTGCAAATGTGTAAACTCTTTCTCATTGGGTTGACACATTTTCTCCACCATTTTTCAAAACAGCTAACACGGATGTCATTCAAGCAGTCCAAACTCCATTGTTTTAGTTATGGTAACCAAACAGAAACCATCTATTCCTAACTATTAGACACTACCAACATCAATATGAATTCAGTGAAGCACCGGTTTGACACTACTTCACACAAATCTTTAAAAAGCAATCAGTCTACAAACCTTATAAAATGGTGGAAGGTCTGTGTTGTTCTGTGCCAGCATGAATGGAGAAGGTCAATAGTGGCTATGTCTTATACTCCCAATAGATTTGACTGTATATTGGTTTACATGTGTTTTCTCTAATATTTACAGTATTTTATTACTTTTGTCTGTTTTTACAGTATTTCAGTTTTCAGCCACTGTTTGAAAATTGTCATGAATTCAATATAAATGTAATCAAAGCATTTCTTATTCTGGATGCAATTCTTTGCAAAAAGGCAAATTTGACAGCCCAAATAGAAAGACAACAAATGGCATTGGCAATAGGCTACAATGACAAGCAATGGTGGTGCACTGACTTCTGTATTTTCTATTTTGTTGTCTATTGTATAATGATTAACTGAAAGGGCTCATATACTTGTTTGCAAGTTATGTTGTTTGAAGGTAAAACTAGCTTTTGTTGCATATTTTAAATGTTTTGACACGGTATGTGCCTTTTGCCAGCAAAATGTGTCATTTTGACCATGAGTGCCGCTGTTTAGGCCTGTGTGTTAACTGTTTTGAAAATGTGGAGTTTCAGTTGACAACTGCATCCAAGCAATCGAGAAAAACTGTAATATAAACCACTTCTGATACCAAATGATCAACTAGAAGTCAAGTTAGTATTTGTTGTTCCTAAAACTTGGATGGGTGATAAGACTTTTGTCAGGTAGTGTATGTTCATAGTGTGACTGAAAAGGAAATAAATGTACACTGTGTTCGTTCTGGTCAAAGTGTTGCTAAGCGTCTGTTATAGTGTGTCATATTGATCCACACTCTCATATTTCCAGCACTGTTTCCAGTAAAGCCTGCGAAACACACTCAACGTCCATCACTCTCACTCTCACTCACACAGATTTGGGTCAGCATTTTGTTCAGCTCTCATTATTTATGACATTGTGCTCCGATTCCATCTCACTGTAATTTATAGACACCTTCCTTTCTTCCTCCACCCCCCTTCACTTAAGCTGATTACTGTTATCATTTCAGAGATTGCACACTTCAGCTGTTCATCAACTCTCTTCATTTCTCTCTGCAGAAGAAACTGGTTCTGACCTTCCACACCTCCACACCAGCAGCCTGTAAACACCTGTGGAAATGTGGCGTGGAAAACCAGGCCTTTTACAAGTGAGTCTTGCAGTCCATCCATATTAGGCATGGGCTGGTATAAGTTTCTGTCGATACGATAAACCTTGGATAAAATATCACGGTATTGTGATTACTACTCTAAAATATGTTCTTTTTAAATGTCTGGGTAAAAAAAAACTAACTTTTTCCCCCATTGAACACCATGGGCTCTTTTTTTTTACGATCTACGTGCAAAGTCTAAAGTGCATTAAGGCGCAAAACTGTTAAGGACATGTACGAATCCCCAGCGCATGGTCAACAGGGTTGTGCTTATTCTCTTAATAAGTTCTGGGTGTGTTTTGAGCAGAACGTGCATCAAACCAATCAGAGTCTCATCTCACACACTGCAAAAAAAATGCTTTTCTTACCTAGATTTTTTGTCTTGTTTCTAGTCCAAATATCTACAAATTCTTAAATCAAGAAACATTTTCTAGACAAGCAAAACATATTGTCTTGTTTTAAGAAATAATATGCCAAAATGAAGTGAGTTTTTCCTTAAATCAAGCTAAATAATCTGCCAATGGGGTAAGCAAAATAATCTTGTTTTTCGATTTGTGATAAGATTATTTTGCTTACCCCATTGGCAGATAATTTTTTATATATTATTTCTTAAGATAATATGTTTTGCTTGTCTAGAAAATGCTTCTTGATTTAAGAACTTTTACATATTTGGACTAGAAACAAGACAAAAAACTAAGTAAGAAAACAATTTTTTGCAGTGCATTCCCTTTAAGAGTCAGTTGCTATTTGCTAATTACATGACAGACTTTTTAAATGGAAAAACTGAACGCTTCACTAGCGAAAAACAGTTAAACATAGCATCTGCAGCACGAGGATAAAGAACGAGCCTCCTCCATTGCGCCTTTTTACTTTCTCTTAACTTTAATTTTACTCTTTACTTTTTTATTTAGTGGAAAAGGAAACGGTGTTGTACACGCTCCAATGAAGACATCATTAGCCTACATATTTAATTTAGTTTGTTTAGCACAAACATTTATTTCAAAACTATTTCTACATGGAAATCTTTCTTGAATTATATTGACACTATTGATCTTAAAGCAGAAGAGGAATAAAGCTTTTATTTATTTTTAATTACTTTTATTGTTTTTTATATAATTATTTTAATAATAATTGTTTTATTTAATTACTTTTTTAGATTTACTGTATTTTTTAATTTTATTGTTTTTTATGGTCATTGGTTTTTAGTAGTGAAAAATCAAAACAATGTATTACTTATATTTTAAATGTATGTATATGATATTGTATTTGCACAAAATAATAAATATAATTAATAAATATATTTAATAAATAATAATGTATAAATTAATAAAAAATGTATTAATATATTTTGCAAAAAATATTTCTAAATTCAGTTCTAATTTCCTGCAAATGGATAAATAAAACTGCTAATAATAATAACATTATACAGACGCAAATTGTTTTGAATAAACTGAAAAAAGCCCCTCAACATGAAGAAGGCATGAAGGCAGTGGTTTTAAAATAGAAAACAATATTTTTTGTAATATTTTAATCCTTTATTTTTTTTATATGTAAAGATACTTGTGTACTGCTGTATATCCTGTGTGTATTACGCAATGTGTAAGCATTTGGACCATCATAGGCGCATAACTAACTGGACTTTAGACTAGGTTTCAGTTGGTCAGTGGCACAGCCTATTTCAGTTCTTCAAAATAGCAACGTGCAAACAATGCGCCTTAACACACCTCTTTCTTAGATCCGAACGCCTATGAGTCCACAAAGTGGCCCAAATGGATTTGCTAATAAAACAAACGTGAAAATAGAGTTGCGCTGGTCTGAAAATAGCAACAAATCGCTGGTTTAAAAGTATGCAATATTCACAGCATAAATGCAACCTGTGATATCGACAAACACAAGTGTGCATTTTCAGATATTCTGTCAGTTTGGTCATAAAGAGAAAGTCATCATTCAAAACAGTGACTACTCGCAAATACAACAACACTGTGCATTAATGGAACAGAAAACTTTTATTCAATCATCTCCGTCTGCCTGATCTTTATGCAGAAATGTGCCACCAAAATAATGAATGAATCTCAAAGTTTACATACATGTCCTGCCGAAGTTTTGAGTAAAGTCATTTATAATATTTAAGCGTCAAATCGTGAATAGACGCGCCACACATTATAGTAAACTTTTTAAAAATGCTTGTGAGTTACGACTAAGACTGAGGGCAATTTTATGCCCCAAAAACATGGTGCGGCACAAAACGAAATGTGGTTAATAGGCAAGGCAAGTTTATTTATATAGCACATTTCATACACAGAGGCAATTCAAAGTGCTTTACATAAACAAGAATAAAAGAAACAAGTAAATAATAAATAAAACGAATAATAAAACTGATTACAAAACATAAAAACAGGTAAAATGTGATATAAAAGAATGAAGAATAAGAGAAAAACATAATAGTGCAATCTGTGGGACACAGCACAGTGCTCATTCAGTAAAGGCACAGCTAAAGAGATGTGTTTTCAGTCTTGATTTGAATGTGCCTAACGTTGGAGCATTTAATAGATAAATTGGTTGGGTTACCTGTCAGTCATATCCTTGCCCATTCAAGCCAGCAAAGCTCCCAGATCTTCAACCGTCAGTCTGGCTATATGAGACTAATGTGGTGTTCACACTGGATGCGACATGTGAAAAAATTGCCCTATTCCCTCCTAAATAGACACGTGAACATTTTGACTTTACTCGCTTAATTTGCTTATCAGATTCACTTCACAATAGACACAGCTTCGCATCGTGGGCGGGGCTTCTGTCTGCCCGGTGATTCTAGTTTCATTGCTAAATGGCTAACATGGATTTTATTGAGAGAGTAGCTGTGCTTTATGTGCTTTAGGAAGGCTGAAAAACAGCATAGATTCGCTCGGCGCCGTGTCTAAGTCCACTAGATCCTTTTAGAGGTGCACTGAGCTCTGTGAGTTCATCAACTCCTTTAGAAACTATACCTGGATGATGGAGGCTTCAGCAGTGCTTCAGATTGAGCCAAGCCCAGTTTGATGAACTGTTGTCCGGTTGCGTCAGGAGGTTTTTCCCTCAGATCTCCAACAACAGGTGCTACGTCATAATCCCGTCATAATAACCGCGTCAAATGCGCAAATGCTCAATTTGTGCGAATGGTGTCGCAGGATGTCTATCATGTAAATCACTCACGCTTGACTTTTCATTTGTGTCTGGTGTGAACGCACCATAACACCTCACAAGCTGGACTCGCTGTTGAAAGGCTCTAGTTGCTCAATGAGGACACCTGCTGATCACAAGGGGGTAATGCATAGTCGAAAAATCAAAAAGATTGTTATCGTTTGTCAGTGTGGACGCAAATATGTTGTTCTATTTATAGTTATCGTGCTTGAGGTGAATGGGTCTTTACATTTATATAATAACATGCAATCAGTAAGTATATGAGTATGAGGTCATGGGGACAAAGGAGGCACACAACTGGCAGTGTTTCCTGAGAACGACCCTGATATAAGTGCGTCTGTGTCTCTAGTTACTATGTGTGAGTGGTGTCACATTACTGTTGAAAGCCCTTTAATTAAGAGCTTAAATGCCAGCCAGACAGCAGGCCCATCCGTTCAAACAGCCACTCTGAAGTGTTCATATTAACAACACACACATATTAGTCTGTCAGTCAGATCAGCAGACACACACACACACACCATTGCACATTAGCTATAAATCGCCAGTTCTGCTAAATGGTTTAAATATAACAAAAAGAGGTTAATATGAGAGTTAAAATCATGCTTACACGTGGTGTAAGATAAACTTGAACATTTGTTTATCTGAAAAACACTGCTAGTCAGTTATTCTTTTTTGAAAATGTGCGTTTCGGGTCTTTGTTTTTGCCCACTGCTAGATTACCTTTACCAGACTATATTTCGGCACCACAGCTTGCCTTAGTGGTATTTTTAATTTCAGTCATGAAGGCTCTTTCAATATATGCTGGGAAATGTGAGTTCCAGAGGACAGTAGCAGCCTCAGAAAAAAGACTAAGGGCTCTATTTTAATGATCTAGGTGCAGTCTAAATCGCATGGTGCAAAAGCATAAAGGGTCTGTCTGAATCAGCTAAAAATACACTCTGCGTCACGGCGCATGGTCTAACAAGTTTGTGCTTATTCTCTTTATGAGTTATGGGTTTGTTTTGAGCATAACATGCATTAAACCAACCAGAGTCTCGTCTCTCATTCTCTGTTACATACTACAGTTAAGAGTCAGTTACATGGCGGACTTCGTAAATGGAAAAACTGAACGCTTCACTAGCTAGAAAACAGATAAACAGAGCATCTGCAGCGCGAGGATAAAGAACGAGCCTCCTTAATTCAGCCTCTTTACTTTACTTTTACTCTTTACTCCATTACTTTCATGGATAAGGAAACGGTGGAAACTCACTCCACTAAAGACATCCATTAGCCTATATATTTATTTCGTTTGTTAAGCGCAAAGATTTGTTTCAAAACTATTTCTAAATTCAGTTCTAATTTTTAGCAGACGAATATGTGAACAATAATAATGAAGTGTGCTAAAAAAACTGAGTTATATCCAAACACACTTCCTGATTTTATGCCTCATATGGTAATGCAGATGTCTCCAAAACTAACAAATCTAAAGTTGTTTTAATTAAGCAAATATAAATATGCAAATGATAAATAAAACTGCTAATAATAATACAATTATACAAATGCAAATTGTCATAAATAAACTTGAAAAAGTAGGGGGTAGTAGAGGCAGTGGTTTTTATCTTTATGTAGAATTTTTTTGTGACATTTTAGACCTTTAATTGTTTTCTAATCTAAAGATATTTGTTTATTGCTGTACATTCTGTGTGTTTTAAGCAGTGTGTAAGCGTTTGGACCCGCACAGGCGCAAAACTAACAAGCTCTGTGCTGGACTTTAGAGCAGCTTTTAGTTAGTTGATGGTGCGATCTATTTCAGTTTCTCAAAAAAACAAAGCGCCAACAATTCGTCTTAAAACATCTCCTTTTCAGACACCCATGAGTCCACAAAGTGGCACAAACGATTTTCTATTTAAACAATGTGGTGCAAAACATGAAAATTAATGTTGCGCTGGTCTGAAATTTGCAACGAATCGCACCAAACTCATCTTGCGCCATATCACGCTCGCTTCTATTTATGTTAGCAATCTGGCAACCTGCATTTGCATGGAGTGGTTGGAAAAAAAACCCCTTGTCAAATATTTTGAATTTGGACTGCAACACATAGTTCAACCACTAGATGTAAATCCTACATACTGTACCTTTCATTTTGATTAAAATAAATCAACCCAAGGTTGGGCTTGTCTATATCCCAAAGTTCGGTTACGACAGCACAGCAGTGTATTTTATCTGCAAGTAAAAACTAATTTCTATAACGTATAATGAATAACGAAAAACTGATTTCTTTTATCTTTGCCATGATGACAGTAAATAATATTTGACCAAAAATTTTTAAAGGTACTAGTATTCCTGCTTAAAGTGACGCTTAAAGGCTTAACTAGGTCAATTAGGTTAACTTGCAAGCTAGGGTAATTAAGCAATCTATCGACTATCGAAAACAAATATTTGCTGAAATAAAGCAAATAAGAGTTTGTCCAGAAGAAAAAATATTATCAGACATACTGTGAAAAATTCCTTGCACTGTTAAACATCATTTGGGATATGCTTGAAAAAGAAAAAAAAAAATTATTTTGACTTCAATGCGTCATTACACTTATTGTAAATGTTTGTTTGATCATCTTTTTTACGTCATTCACAGCTAAACGTTTGATTGTTCTCTTCATTTATTTCCTCTGATGTCTGTGTGGTTTTTAGATGTGCAAAGTCAAGTCAGATCAAGACTGTGTCCAGCAGCAGTATATTTTTCAAGGGCAGCCGATTCCGCTACAGGTGAGATCATTCCTCTTTAAAGGAAAGTCAAGCGAATGCTCATTTTCTGTGTGTTATTTATAAAATCTCCTACTATTTAAATGTTCCTGGTTGTGTTCCAGTGGTCGTGTGGCTAAAGAAGTGATTGAAGCCAGTTCAAAGATTCAGAGGGATCCTCCTGTTGTGCACAGGTTAGCATTTATTTCTAGTATATCTGACCAACACTTAGGGTGACACGGTGGCTTAATGGTTAGAACTGCCATCTCACTGCAAGAAGGTCACTGGGTCGAGTCCCGGCTGGGCCAGTTGGCATTTCTGTGTGGAGTTTGCATGTTCTCCCCGTTTTGGCGTGGGTTTTCTCCGGGTGCTCCGGTTTCCCCCACAGTTGAAAGACATGAGCTATAGGTGAATTGAATAAGCTAAATTGGTTGTAGTGTGTGAATGTGAGAGTGTATGGGTGTTTCCCAGTACTGGGTTACAGCTAAAAGGGTATATGCTGGATAAGTTGGCGGTTCATTCCGCTGTGGCGACCTATAATGATTAAAGGGACTAAGCCGGAGGAAAATGAATGAATGAGTAGGAGTAAGTGCTGTTGGAATATCTAGCCAATTTCACTTGTTGTGGTTTTTTTAATGTGTTAACTGATTTCCGAAGCATCTGATGCTGTAGTATTTTAGCTTTTTTTCTTAACATTTTTGTGATTGTGTGTGTTTTTGTTGCTGTTTTAGGTGTCAGTTTGGACAAAGCAGAAGCTTTACGTCACTCAGTCATAAACAGCTCATAATGAACATGGAGCCGCTTTTACCAGCTTTAAGCTCCAGCAGGGAAAGCAGAGACTCCTCAGCAGATAACGGTAACGCACACACACACACACACCTGCATGCACACACACCAAAACAATCACAGTTTTTCTCCTGCATGATAAAAATTATCTAAAGCACCTTTGAAATTAATAATGCACTTTATTTTTTTATGGCTGACTCTGATTGCAGATTTTTCTAGGAGCAAATGGCCTGGTACAATTTTTTAAGATTGATTCTTAAAAGCTAGAAACAAAAAAAAGAGGACTAATATATTGACATGAACAGGCATAAAAGTGACCACTAACTTTTTTCCTCAGGTATATAAGCAATATCGCATGAGTAGTTGTGCGATGTGGCTGTATATCGGCACTGGTGGGAGGTGTGCATTGGCATGACGATATACAGCCACATTGCACTGCTACGAGTGTGATACTGCATTTATACAACAGTTCGATAGCATAATCGTGTATATAAAAAAAGACAATCAAACACGCAGTCGCAAAACCCTTTTGTATGAGGAATTACTTTCTTCCACCATTCATTCACATCTGCAGCTGACGTCAGAACAGCAGAAACTGTTGCTTATTCTCCAATGTCACTTTAAAACTAGTGTTTGAATGATTCTCTAGTGTAATATCTAAAGTGATGACAAACTAGGTCATTTTTGCTGACATTTTAAGATTGAAATGCCATCAGTCTACAGAGATTTCCCAGTATTCCACTGTTGTAATCGGGAGATCACAATAATTAACCCCAAAAAAGCCAAAGCAAAGCAAACACTACAAGATCACTATGGTATAAATACAGCACTACAACATACAAATGAAAGAGATCATCTTAGAATCAACCGTTACTTCCTTTGGTCTGCTCAGACAGGTTGATGGGGACCGATGCACTGCATCAGATGCTCCAAAATTAAAAATATTTTAAAATATGCACAATACTTATAATTAAACTCCATAAACAACTACATTTTCTACTAAAAAAGTCTCTAAAGTACATTATGTTGTCCAACAGCTGCAATTCATGTCAAACTGTACAGCGTCCTCTGCTTGTCGCTGTATGTGGACGGAGTAATACACAAGGGTGATGGGTGAAGAGGCGGTACAAGTGCTGTTATTTGCAGAATGTTGCATGGCTATCAGCTAATTAGATTCAAGAACCAGACAGAACTGATCCTGGAACACCATTTTGGTTGAAAAATGTAATCCATACCTTATTCCTACCCCTAAACCCAACCATAACTGTAAATTATTTCCAAAATCAGAGGGGAATAATAGTTGGATAAAAATCATCTAGAAGTTCATAACTCTAACCGTAAGCCTAAAATTAACATAAATAATAATAATAAAACTCAAAATAAAAATATCCCTTAATTCTGATTGGCTGATTGGACTGTTGTTCCAGGATCAACATAGATGTTGGTAAAATCAGGTTGGCGTCATCTTCACACGTATAAACGTAGCAAAGCATGCTTTTTCAGTTTGGCCTTTTTCAGTTTCAGCACATGTCCCTCAAAATGTTTGTGCATGACCCTAAAAGTGGATAATAACATAACTGACATAACTATAGAAGCTTGTTTTCTATTATTAATATATTCAAGCTACAGGTCAAAATGTGGTGCCAGATCAGATTTCAGAGGTGCCGGATTTGGATCTCCGGCACAAATTAAGCCCTGCGCTTGTTACACTTGAATACCATTCCATTAATGCTCAGTTTACAGGCTTTGAAATATAAAATGATTACAGTGCAGGTCTGGAGCAGAAATCTGCAAAAATGAAGCAAATATCTACCAATTCTGTTCAATCAATCAGTGCATCTCTGACATGAGGTTGTCAAGTAAACCTCCCTCGTCTTCAGTGTATCCGTTCAGATTGACCCAGCGAGAGGGCTGGTGTTCGTGGAGACTCTGATCAGAGTGTTAAAAATACATGTGAATATCCTAGCAGAAGACACCATGTTAGCGGTGATTAATAGCATGCCTGCTTGAGCTTGTGCATTAAAACAAAGACACCCAAGTACACAGGCTGCAGGTTTAACTCTTTAAAGGGACGCTCCACTTGTATTTATATTTTTTAAATAGGCTCATTTTACAACTCCCCTGGTGTTAAACGATTGATTTTTAACACTTTTAAATCAATTTAGCCAGTCTCTAGGTGTGGTGAAAGCACTTTTAGCTTAGCTTAGCATAGATCATTGAATCGGATTAGACCATTAGCATTTCTTTCCAAAAATTCACAAACGTGTTTAGATATATTCCACCTTTTTTTTTTGGAAATAGGCTTATTTTACAACTCTGCTAGTGTTAAATGGTTGATTTTTAACTGATCTCTGGGTTATGCGAGAGCACTTTTAGCTTAGCTTAGCATAAATCATTGAATCAGATTAGACCATTAGTGTCTTGCTCCAAAAATTCACAAACGTGTTTAGACAGTTTTCCCATTTAAAGCTTGACTCTTCTGTAGTTATATCGTGTTTCTAAGACAGACTGAAAACGAAAAATTGCTCAACTCTTTGAAATTTAGGTGCGAGATGCTAATGGTCTAATCTAATTCTATGATTTACGCTAAGCTAAGCTAAGCTAAGCTAAGCTAAAAGTGCCCCTGCCAGGCCCAAAGATTGGCTAAATGGATTCAAAAATGGTAAAACACAGCAGTTTAACTCTAGGAGACTTGTAAAATGAGTCTATTTCTCAAAAAAGTTGAGTGTTGCTTTAAATTTGGAGATATGGATCATGTGATAGAGCTGTGGAGTACTGTGTGGAGATGTAAAGCTTGTTCCTCAATCTTAAGCCCTTTACAGATCAACTTACCAGACGAGAGGACAAGGCTTTAAGGTCTGAATGTCAAACCTGCTGGTCTCAGATGTTCCCTGTACATCCTGCTATAAAAAAAACAATGCACATGTTATGATAGCTTCTGTATAGAGATCGGACAGAAGTGCTTTGTTTTTAGTGAAACGTCAAATAATCTCATGGCAACGTTGTGTGTTTTACTGGTGGAAATTGCCATCCACATTGTAAGTAATCCACATTTGGATGAATGGGTAAATACGTGCTACATGCTTTCCTCTCAATAACAAAAATAACAGTGGTGAGAAAATAGCGATATGGAAATATTTGGACTAGCTTCTATCCAGTGTGTGAATTATACATGCTTCAGTGAACCAATTATTTTAATCCAGCATAGGCTCATTCTGAAAAACGTAGCCCTATATATACATTTCTGAAGATCATGAATTATGTAGCCAGAAGTACGTATGGCTGCATTTCATCTTTAAAACGAATGCTACGGGGCTTTTCTTTTTCGTGCTTACTGGCTGACTGCTTATCTCCGTATGGACAGCTTTCCTGCTGTTAAGAGTTTGTCCAGTAGCTCGCCATGTACATTAGTGAACTTGAGACGCCGGGGTTCGAGTCCAGCAAAGAAAGGTTCCAGAAAGCAGGAAAGACAAAAACTGAAGCCAAAAAATGAAATAAACAAGTAAATAACAGCGTGAGAATGTGGTAAAATCTGAAAAAACGTGGTGAAAATCTAGCGTGGGCTTTTATTTTTCTGGGTTTCTTTTTAAAACTGTCTGTTGGGTTTAGGAAAGTGGGTGTTTGTGTCAATCGGTGCTTTTGAAAACACTATTGGATTAGGGAAGAAGGAGGGCGGATTAGTCGAGTGGTTAGTCAGTCAGTCAGTCGACAGTGGCCTCTAGTGGATTTACTTGAGAACAGCAGGCGTGAATGGCACTGGCGAGAGGAATATGATATCTGAAAAAGCGTACACAGCGGCCTCTAGTGGATTTACGTGAGACCAGCAGGCGTAAATGGCACTGGCGAGAGAAATTTGACATCTCAAAAGCGTACACAGCGGCCTCTGGTGGATGCGAGAAAACAAAAACTGCAAAAACTTCTGGTGCTCTCCAGAAATTTATACAGAAGTGCATTTTCAGAATGAATCTGGGTTGATTTAATCTCATTTATAAGGTAAACTTATTTAAGATTTCAGTGTTTTGAGGGATTTTGAGGAGGTTAATAGCTGATAATCACATGTCTGTTGAAATAGCCTATCAAAGATAAACTATTTTTATAATATAAAACAATGAATTGAGCTTAAAGAGATGCAAACCCTGAAAATGTACTCCCTGTTTAGTCACCCTCTAGTGTTTCCAAAATTTTGAGTAATTATGACTTCAATGGTTACAGGTTTCCAGCTTTCTTCAAAATATCTTCTTTAGTGTTTAACAAGAAGGCAAACAGGTTTGGAACATGTACAATACCAGATGAGCAAAAGATGAGACAATTTTCAGTTTTGGGTGAACTATCCCTTTAACAGTGATAAGCATGTTATCTCTTGCAGGGGTGTTGCTAGTGTGGGGTAAAGGGGGGCAGAGTACTTAGGGCCCTGGCAATTTAGGCAAATCCCTAACTGGCAAGCTCCCCCAGCCATTTTTTTTTTTACAGTGTAGAGTTGCATTCACAATTGTTTGATCTCTAGAATCTTGGAAGATGTTATCCAAAGCTCTTTGGCCTGTTTTCTGTTTTCCATATACATTGGCGTAACGTTGGTTGCTTCTTCTGTAGCTGCTTCTTAAGGTTTTATGGAATGTTTTCACATCCGGACACCTTGTTGATTGCTAGTAATCCAGCAATGGCTTTATTTAATGCAGGATGTCAGATTCCTCTTCTTCTTTGATGATGTACCACTTTGGTATGGCAAATAGAAGCTCAAGAATCAACAGAATACTTCATGTTCTCTGAGGTAACTCGGGCAAAGTTGGCATGGATGTATGCTGCAATGTCACTGCAACTGCTTTTGCTGATAAAGATAAACACTACCTGACAAAAGACTTGTCGCTTATATAAGTTTTAGGAACAACTAATAATAACTTGACTTCTAGTTGATCACTTGGTATCAAAAGTGGCTTACATGAAAGGCAACGACCTCTAGATTACGCTTATTTGACCAAAATAAAATATGATCATGCTGATTTTTAATTATTTAATTAGGACTGTTACGGCCCAAACTCAAAACTGGCTCGAATAACAACAACAATCAAGGTT